AATAGACAAAAATTTTCATAAAAAAAATAGTAAATTTTAAATAGATCTTTGTCAATGATTAATAGAACGAATAATGGCATATAATTGACGTATGCTCACATATCTTCCTCAAGAGTTGCAATAATTGAATTACAGATTTCAATTGATTGTTGTGTCATTATTACTATTACTATCTTTTATCTAAGGATTGGAACCGTTCAATCGTATTAACCATTTAACTCGGCTGGCATTAAGATAACCTTGGCCCATTAACAACATGATTCGGCCCCGAAAATTATGAAACAATTTTTATGTGGTTAAACAGTTAAACGATTAAAGAAATTCTTTATTATTACCATGAAAATAAAAATTGTTTTTACAAAATTGTAATAAAAAAATAATGAGCCAACAGAAAGACAAAAAACCCATGCCAGAAATACCCAATTTCTTTTTCGCCCTTACAACAAAATTATCCGAATCAGCTTTTTCTGAATCCGTTAGCTGCAAATAATCAAATGTTGAATGCGAATATATAACTCTTTAACTATATACTGTATATATTTATATAATTCGTATTAATATTATTAATGAAATATTTTAGGTTTCGCTAATAATTCGTTCTTCGTCCATAAATTTTAAAAAGAGTATTTAAAATAATTATTTTTTATAATCCATCAAAGAAAATTTTTAAACCAATTAGCGCAACTCTGAAAATAAGGATGTTTTGAGCCTCCATCTCTTATTAAATTAAATTTTTCCCTATGATTTTCTATGATGTATTAAACTTTTATAGTCTTATATCATTGGAAAATTAAATACAATTAATTCGTTAAACCATTTTTTTTTTTTTTTTTACTAATAGAAATTTGTTCCCTGACTGATTGATTAAGGCGCTTGAGAACACCTATAGTAACTAAATATACTTAAAGATCGATTCAATCCATCAACGAGGCAACTCTTTCACGTTTATTTTAAATTGTTTATAGTGTTACACTCTTATGAAATAACCTAAAAATTTTAATGTTTTTTTAAAATTTTATTGTTATGGTTTTCATATAAAGGTTTAAAAATACCCAATTTTTTTTAAGTTAAAATAAATATAAAATTTTATCTAATTTTTTATACCGAAAATATTTATAATAAATACATCAAAGAAAACCAAGAAAATCAATTTGGTATGGCCCTAATAATAATAATCTTTTTATTGTTAAATATGGAAATCAGATTGTCCAGTTGGAAGATATCGATACAAGTATTTAATTTCGGCCTCCAAATCCTATAAAAATAAAACCAAAATTTAATATATTGCATATAATTAAAAAAAAATAAAAAATGTTAAGGTTGAGGCTTGAAAAAGTTGATATCGGAAATGAGGTCTTAATTTGTAAATATAATACATCCTACTAAATACACTTAGATGCTAAAACAAAAAATGCACTTTAAATTTTTCATATTAAAATTGGTCTCAATTTCCATTATCAGCCTCAGCCGTGACAATAAAAAAAAAATTTTTTTTAAGTATCAAACCTTGCAATACTCATCCAATGGCAAATCATTTAAATCATAACCTAAAATAATAAAGTTAGGAATAAATTCATGTCAAAAGGATATGATTTAAAGTAAAATATTACAACTTACCGAATGGATCTTCAATTTCAGAACCTATCCGCATAAAAGTATTACGTTAAAATTTGTATATGACAAAAAGATAAAAGACAATTTCTATCTACTCACCGATTGCTTCAACACCAAAAAGAATAAAGGAGATTACGAAGATAACTGGAATAGTAAACCATCCAAGAATTTCAACAAGAGTGAACGGAAGTACCCAAACATATCTGTCGTAATATATTATCAAAAGACAAATATGAGAAACAAATAAGACTTTATGTATAGAAAAAGAATTATGACTTACAAAGTTACTGCTTGTTTTCTAAAGTAATAAAAATAATAAAGATATTAATTAAAAGAAAATGTTACATTAATATTATAAAAGAGTATTTAATAGTATTTACAGATGAATTTTATAAGCTGCGGGAATTGGTGTATTGCTAATCCTCTCAAGATTGCCTAAAATATCTATCAACGAGTCTAAAGTTGCGTAAAGCCGATAAGGGTCGGCTTTTTTTTCACGTGCCAGTTTATCATAATACATTCCCAGATGAAAAACGATTTCCTATAATTCATGAAAGAACAGTTATATAAATTGAAATGATTCTAGAAAAAAAAAAAGTGCTTATTTTGAAATTTACCATTGGGAGACTCATTTTTGGATCTTCAGTTCCCCATGTAACATCAATATCCTGTGCATTGTTTAGATTATTACCTACAAGCGAGCGAAAAGTATTTTTTATATATGATACCGGATGTTGGTTTTTAGATTTTTGGAGAAGTTGAGTATTTTCGGTCGGTTCTTGATTATGTACGGTGACACTTGGAGCAGGGTCCTGAGCGTTAACAAGATCATCAGGATTATCCGGATCCTCTGTACTTTTACAGTGTGGTTCTATATTTTCTTGACCAGCATTACCAAAAAACTTTGTACGTTGATAATCGCCTGGTAACAAACCCTCAAAATCATCATGTTCAATGCCGAACTCCAAACGAAGATGATGTTTAGCTGCAATAACAAATGCTAACAAAAGTTGAATACTTTCTTTTTTTTTCATCCCGATCTTTCTTTGAGCTTTCAGCCACACTGACCCAAATAAATCTTGCACTATTTCTTGCAAGAGTACTGTTCAATCCAAGTATATAATTTCACATTAATATACCACCAATTGATTTATTTAATAATAATATATATTCTGTAAAAAAATATTTTGAATATACATACCATAAATTGCAAAATAATTTTCGACCTTCATAATAACTATTATAAGCGTGGTTTGTACGAAAAGCCAGAAGAAGACCGACCACGACAGAAACAGTACCAACTAACGGATGTATATATATATATATGCATTTATATATATTTTTTTTTTTTCATTTCTTAATTTATTTATGCTAGGAATAGATAAATAGATTCTTACCCAAGCTTCCGGGTAAAGTTATGTCAATATCACACAGAATGTATATAGCGCATATTATAGAAGTGAATATAGTCGAAATTATAAGTATCGGAATAATGGTTAAAAATACCTAAATAAAATATTATTATATATATTAATGAAAATTTAATTAATAATGGAATTAAATTATAGAATCAATTACTTACCGAACTTCTAAAATGTAAAATATCTAAATTTCAACAATAAACTCGGTTAAAAATTTAATTTAAAAAATTATAGTAACGGTAACGTTTATATATATATAAAAAATATATATATATATATATATATACCTGGTACACCCCATCCATGTTTACACGATAATTTTTTCAAAAATGATTGGGTTTGAGGGGAATCTTTCGTATTTGAATCTGGCATAATTAAAAATTTTTAATTTTTGATGAAATTCTCAATTGAATATAAAATTCATGAAGTGAGTTTAAAATGTATATCTGATATAGTACAGTGATTCTTTCTTCGTTTTATATAAAATCAGACAGATAGCAGATGCACGAAAAAGATAGTGCATGATATTAATTGGTATTTTATCGATATCGATCAACGCAAATAAAGAAGTAACGTACGAGAAAAAAGCTTTACTTAGTTCTGTATTTGTAAAACAAAAGTCTTGAAACGGAAATAACCAATCAGAGAGACATCTCTAGTCAATTATTTAAGTCGTACTTGTTAAAAGTTTACATTACCAAAGACTTGTAGAATTAGATTTATTTTAATTTTTGATGAATTAAAAAAATATTGCAATATTTTGTAATATTGCGGAGAAGCTTTGGATTTAGTGTTCTATATAATACAATTCCACATATTCGCCGAAATGACAACGAAATTTATATATAAAAGATTCACCAGCCAATTATTTAAGATATCAATTGTGAGTTTTATTAAAATATAAATAATAAAACTATAAAATGTAAACGATAAAAAAGTACTAGCACTAATTTTATGTAAGTCGACATTATGTAAATAAATGCTAGATTGGTTTATCATAATAGCTATTTTTATAATAAAATATTACCTGCATAACGCTAATATTAATTTGTAAGAAAATGATCTATTAAATATTTTTTTGTATAACGAAACAAAAGTGTAAATATTGATTTTCTCTTGTTACATTAATAGATAGGATTTAGGCTTTTAGACTACTAGTGATACAGCTAGAAAAATAGGTTAAAAATCTAAAAAATCATATATATATAAATAATTTTTATATACAAAAATTTGATAAATACTGTAATTTAGTTTGGCAGAATCTTTTTTAATATTTATAATAAAATTTTTGAAAAAATAATCTTTTTTACTTACTATTTTTTGCAACTTTTAATGTACTACATTTAGTACACTAATAATACAAATTTTATTAATAAAATTTGTAAATTTAAATTTTAATTATATAAAAAATTTTAAAACTTACTATATTTAAAATTTTATTACTAGTTGTATTACAAAAAAATTACTTAAAAACTTGTAAGCTGTTAGTTGAAAATCATTAATATTTTTGATATTTCATATGCGTTCTGCAGTTTTTAACTATAATCTTTTACTATTTTAATTTATAGTAGTTGTTAAAAACAAACTTTTAATTCTTAATTTACAAAATTTATTAAAATTAAACCAATATATTAAAAATAATATAAGTTTAAAATTTTAAAAAATTTAATCTAGTTTTTAATATAAAATTTACTAATAAAATTTATTAATAAAAAGGCTAAAAAAAGCCAATTTTTAAAAAATTCTAGAAAATTTACAAGATTTTATAAAAAATATTTAAATAGATTGTTAAATATTAACATTAGTCAATAATTAGCTTTAAATAGTGTCACGGTGAGTACAAAATACTACCGGTAGTACGCCTATATCCTATCCATTAACACTTTAATTCAAAAAAAAAAAAAAGTATGAAATATTGATCTCTACTTGGGCATAATTAAATATGGTAGATCATAATGAAATCGGATTAAAATGAAATTTGGGGTCTTCTTTCGATGATTTCGCTCGCATTATTAATAATATTCAGCGAGATAAATAATCAATTGATTATACAAAACTTTTAAAGCGAAATCTTAATTTAGAAGGTACCAGTACAGCTTATTTTAATCCAAGTTGCTCTCACGCCCAACATTTAACTTTTGTATTAGTGTTACACGTAGTTTTAGGAAAATTTACAGGATCGGAAATTTCACTCTGAAATGCACATGCAAAAGCGCCATGGAAAACAAGATGTCTGAACCCCCTACCGCTACTTCGGAACTCCATTTTGAATTTAGATCCAAATATTAGCTAACTAATTTTGGCATTACGATAATGTGAAATACTAGAGAAACAATACTTATTGTAATAAATTGAGTATTTTCATATAACGAGCGATTATTTTCGATCACTGAATCACGGTGCCTACACGGGCTTATAAAAGAATCTTTTTCGGACTAGGAAAACCCCCCTTTATCGCAACTCTCTTTCCTTTTTCACGATATATTTGATTAAATTTCTGCCGAAAAGAAATTTTTAATCTCAAGTTGTGTGACATACGCATTCGCTTCATGTAAAGAAGTAAACTTTTTTTAGAGCACTTTTTTTTCAAAAATAATAAAACATAATGTGCTATATAATTTGTTATTTAATTTTACATTTTTACATTAGTCACTATAAATAACAGAATTGAATCTAGACAAGTATCCAGTAATATATTAACCAAAAACATCTAGCCGAAACAAAAGTCCAAAACCATGTTTTGTTTCACGTTTGATAAATATTTAGATGCAAAAAAATCTTAAATAAAAGGTCGCCTAGAAATTGCTGAAGAGTTGCAAAACTTGTTGCAACACAATTATACATAGTAACACAGATCATTCTAGGAAAAAAGCAATAATTAAAGGAGTAAGTAATTTGTTAGGAGCCATTACTATTCCGGCCAAAGTAGTTAATATTAATCCTGGTAAGTTAGTGGAAGTAGTTAGTGATATGGGAGATTATCAAAAAATAACTTTTTAAAGGGATTTTATTGAGCAATTTAATTGAACCGTTAATCATTGGCTGTCAATCAAAATTTATTGAAGGGGGTTTTCCTAGTCCATGACCTTATGGTTTATAACAGATTTGATTGATCCGCCTTTTATGTTTTTTGACGATCTACATATATTTTAGATGTAACTCTAGTGATCTGATTCGAATGATTTCAATTCCTCTCAGCAAGAGTAACTGAATAATGTAAAAATCGAACTAATTCAAGTAATAGTTTTATTTCGTTAAAACCCTTATCGTTATGAATAATACTTGATTAGTTATTCAGGATTCCAAATTGAGCATAGATTTTTTGACAAAAAATATCAAAAATAATAATTAAATAACTTCTAAATCGCTTAACCTTTGATCTTCAAATAATAGTAATATAGCATGGTATCACGTGAATTTGAATTGCGCCGAAAAAAATTGTAATGGTGCTGTAGCAATATAATGGGGACCCGTGTCGTTTTACCGACAATCATTTCACTGATAAAAACCTAATATGTCGGTGAAATGATCTACGTATTCGGTAAACCGAGTGTCGGTGAAATGGACGGAACCGACATAATGGTGCCTAACGCGAAATTGTTAGATTCCTGCTTACCGAAGATCTTTATATCACTTTAGCAATGAAATGGTGTTTAACATGCACCATTAATTTTTTATGACACTAAATTCAAGAGTTTCTAAAATTTAATACAATAGTAAAATAGAAAAAACGAACAACATATATTATAAAGAAAAAAAATTTAAATACGTAAAACATTTTTGTGGAAATTCTTCGTGCAAAGGGATAACCGATATTCATGCATCAAATCATCATTTGTGACACTTTCGTGAACCAATGAAAATTTGAGGGGAAAGATTTTTTTAGATTTCATAATAAAAGTTCAGGTACATGTACAACGAATTCTTTTTTTTTTGTTTTTTTTTAATTCATTGATATTTTGTTTACAATAAAAAATATTTAATCATTAATAACAGATAATAATTCATATTGTTTTAAATAACAAACTAAAAAAAGTTATGGTAACCCAATTATCACCAGAATTATTAGGAAATTTCTTTGAACAAGTCGATAATGATATTGCGACTTTACGGTCTATGTCATTAGTAAATCGTTTTTGGTGCAGAGTTGGAATTCCTATATTGTGGCGAACACCTTTTAGAATAAAGGTTCGTTATTTATGGCGTCAACCATATCATAACAACTTTGCACCAAAACTTCGTAACATCATTCCTGTTCTTATATCATTTCTCGATTCTGAATCAAGACAACTTTTAAAAGACAAAGATGTATTATTAATTAATTCACTACCATCATCTAATTTTGATTACATTTCATTTTTAAGAGAACTCGACGTTCATGTCTTACATGAAATTGTTGACGAATGGCTTGATCATATTGGTATTAATACAATTAATGAATATAATGATCAAGAAGATTCAGTTATCATAAATGGACACTACTATAAAAAAAGCAGAACAATATATTTAGTTATCGAATTATGCAAGCTCATATTAAGACATTCTAACAAAATCACTAGTCTTTTTATAAGTAATGATATTGTTAAGGGTGATATCATTGTACCTTATTGCACTTTCTTAAAGAATTTGGTGTCATTTCATGGAGCCAGTAAATCTTTATCATATCTAGAAACTTTAAACATTCGAGGTCCATATATAGATGATAACTTATTATCCAATCTCTCAAAAATTTGTCATAATGTTTCAACTCTTGATCTTAACGTTATGAATGGATATTTTGGACCAGATTTTACAACAGCATGTTTACCAAATTTCATCAAAAATCAACATAATTTGCAAAGAATATACTTGGGATGTTTCTATAAAGATATTTCACCAATCATTGAAGCTTTGCAAACACAAATTCATTCCATAATCGATATTCAATTTGCTTCATGTAAATTTTCCCAAAGTTCATTAATGGAATCACTTATGAACAAATGCACTAAACTAAGGACCATCACACTTAGATCTCATTTGAATGATATTAAAGATATGAAATTAATGATACAACCATTGGTCAACTGTAATTTGACAATACTACAACATCTTTCACTTGATTTATGGATTTACGAGGATAATCGGTTTGAAACAATTGTTAGATATTTACAGAAAATACTCGAACGTTATGGCAAATCCTTAAATCAATTGAGACTTCGATTCGATTATAACAAAAATCCTAATATTTTGCATGAAATAGGACAACATTGTATAAATTTGAATACTCTTATTTTTCCTTATCATAGACGTGATGACCTTGATCACTTGCTTTCTCTTTTACCAAAATTGAAAAATTTAAAAAAATTGATTATTGAAGCGTGGAATAGAGTATATTATGCTGATGAATTCTTTCCACATGTTGGAGATCTCATTATTCAAACAACATCTCGTAATTTTGAAATGTATTGGATCATAAATAATGAGACTATTGATACCTTTTTAAAAAAATGTAACAATCTAACAGATCATATAAAATCATTTACATATTACTGTAAAGACGATCCAGTGCTTCATTGCGGTGTTTGGCGCGCGTATGGAGATATGCTTGAAAAAAGAGGACTTATCCGAGATTGGTCAATTCAAATTTTAACTCAATATTTCTCTTCAAATGTGCAACGAGAATTAAGTTATCATATTATTATATTTAAAGTTGTTTAACGCATACGTGACACTAATAGATTCGATTTTATTAATTATATTTAAATCTGCGAAAAATTATCTTATATTATTATTATTATTAGAAATTTATACAGCAAAAAAAAAAACAGTAATTGTTTTCTTATAAATTAATGTCGTAGCAATAGATAGTTTAAGGATATGTAGAACTTTTGTACAATTATTGTAGTGAAGAATTGTTGAAAATTATATAATACAATGAGTAAATAAATTATCGATAATCTTTTTGTTTTTATAGACATATATTGAATAAGTGCATCTTTGTCAGGATGGATTAATCCGGTCCAGTCTGTCCTGGTTCCTATAAGATCAGTCCATTAATGTTTTCAGTCCATCTCAGTCCCAAAAATGGTCCTCATCTTATTGGCCAGTAGAGAGAATTGGATCACACGACAGAGTGTAATATACTTTTTTCTAAATAAATTTAATTGGCGATTTGCAGCTATTTATAAAGACTGGTCCAAACTGGGAACAAATAACCGCGAGACCGGTTAAATACTGATCTTTATTTATTCAGTCTTTCATCCCTAATCTTTATTAAATTTATAAGTTATAAGGCCTTATAAAAAAAGTCGATCCGTGTTTTATATTCCATGTTTTTTCCATAAATGTTGCATATTCACGGAATTTATAACCTTAAATCATGGAGATTATTCAGCTTTGTCGATCATGTTTCAAATTCACGGAGTTTTCAGGAAAAATATGGATAAATAATTGAAATATTCGGAATAAATTTTTTATAGGGAGGTGTAACTTATATTTAGCATAAATACGTTTCTGCTCAATTAAATTTTATTTTCAGTATCTTAGAAATATAATTATTGGTAATAATAAAATCGATACATTGAATCATTCAATCATATGATACTTAAATTGTTTATTATTTACAGTAGCAAAAGCTTAGCTTAATTAGAAGCTCCGTGTCCCAGTTAATATTCTAAATAAACGCGAATCTACTATATCTGCATGTACTGTACTAGACTAATTAATATTCTAGTATTCTAAACTTAAATCTCCGTAAATATCATAACTAAATTCTACCTGTGAGTAATAAAATGCGACACTCCAAGTTATTCTCTCTCTCTCTTCCATTGTTTAAAAAGATAACATCCAATATTGCATCAGGAAGCTGAACACTGCGTTAAAAGATTGAATATTAATAATAAAAAAAAATAGGGTATTTTAGTCCAATATTCCGAAAGAAAACATAGCAATAATAAACAGGTTGTATCAATGCCATCTCAACCTGGATCGCTGCCAGGAACGACAGAACTTTTGTCAGCTTTACTGTTATTTTTAGCGAGATCATTGTTGACTTGTGAATCTGATGTGAACGATTGTTTCTCCAGTTCTATTTATTCATAACATAAAGAATTTGATGCAATTCTTCTTCACATCTCTAAAATTTCTCAATATAATGAAATAAATCAACATACCAATTACTGTTCTAAAAATCGGAATATCACCGATACTTTTCACCCTTTTTTGTTCACCAGGGTCATCATCAACTTCTAAAGTATTATTATAACTCATATCGGCTGCGGATTTATGACTTGACGGCCCGAGAATCACCGACAAGCAATTTTGACTTGGAGAAATCTCTTGCTTTGGTTTTTCATTTTCTTTTAATATATAATAATAATTAAACATTATGATAAGTATTTAAACAATTTTAATTATAAAGGAATCACAAAGAACAAACCTAAAATTTTAGCACAAGGTGCATCTAAGCTTTGCATGTTGTTTGCACCATCGTTGGCTGAAACAACATTAATCTGATTTATATTCATAAAATTTTATGAAACTAAAAGAAAGAAACGGAAGCGCAGCAATCCAAAAAAAAAGTCTTTTTCAATATTGGATTCTTTGTTATCACAAAAAAAAAAAAAAAAACAGATGATTTAGAAACAAATAATTTAATTTTCGAAATCGAATTTATATTTATATCAGATCAAAAAAAAAATCATAGGACTAATAAGAACACATGAAGTCATAAAATAATGCAGATTTGCTGGATGAAATGATTTTAGTGTCAATTAATATTTGCATCATAACGTCGCTTGTATGACGATATTTAAAATAGCTAATGTGAGTGTCATCTTTCAAAGTTTAAACTTTAAAATAAAATAAAAAATAAAAAAAAAACGGATCGATTACTTTAAAAAAAAAAATGATTTGATGACAATTATTTTACTTAATATTAAAATTTAGTAATTATTATTATATTTAAATTTTAAAAAATTATATATCATATTAGTGATAGATATTTAGTGATAAATATTTGGTAGCGATAAATAAAATACCGAGTATTTGAAAAAAATGTTAAATGTCTTTATGATTAATTTCTAGGCGTATGAAATCTTATAGTGAACTAATTTTATGCCTTTTGAAGTTCTAATTAAAGTTATAGAGGGATGTTTTCAGTTTCAATGGTGGTAACCTTACTAAATTTGGCTCATAATATTCTTATTACGCTTTGTGACTATACTAAATTTTCTTAGAACAAATTTTATATAATCGCGAAGTATAAAATGTTACTTCTCGCTATCTACAATACTGAGTCGATTTTAGTAATATTGTTACTATTAGAACCAGAAACTTTCTTTTACAAATTTTACTAATAAGAAGCTAGTTAGCATTGAAGGAATATAGAAGAAAAAAGATTTTATAATTATAAAATAAAAAATAATCAAGTTATTATTATAGCATTTTCTGTTTTCTGCACTATGAGGTCTTTGTAAAATTATGCAAATATTGTAAGTTATATTGTAAGTTATATATAAATTATATAAATTAATTCTTTTTTTTATTGTTAAGTTGGCCTATATTAGCAAAAAGATTTTTATTAATTTGTATCAGGATTACATATTGGTAATTCTTACTATTTGTAATTATATGAAAAATATACAACAAACCATATATATAACTTTAGTTATTGTTTATTGTATAGATATTAGATCATCTGATTAGTTTTATACAAGTTGCTATATTTACAACTTACTTGTAAGTTATTTATTTAAATACTTTGTTTATTAACTTATATAGATCATATAATACTTAACTACTTAAGCTAGTTAATTTATTATCCTTTAAACCATCTAGTAGGCAAATTTGCTTGCTAAAATTTTTTTTGTTCGATTTTTATACAATTACCTCAAATTTTATTAAGATGCATTTCTATATTCTCTAAGCTAAAATAAAAGTATACTACATGCTAGATATCATGTAATTCTTATCATGAGAAATTTTTTTAGCACTACTTCTAAAATTAGCTAAATATAGTTAACTATACTATAGTCTTTATGATCAAATTTAATAGTAAAAAAGGTACCTTTACATAACAATTATGAAAGATCTTGATGATCATCATGTAAAGATATCTTTTATAATATGATATTAAAGTTGGTCAAAAATTCTTCATGACCAACTTCATAGAACTGATTTTAATACAATATGAGAAAGATAATATAATTCAAAAGTTCAGATAAAATAGTACATTTTATAGCTATTGTGTGAATTTATGTCCTTTGTTTAAATTATTTTGATTATACTATATATAGTTATTAAGTATAATATATAATTTGAGTTTTTAGAAGTTAGCATAGCTAGTTATAATAAATATCTTTATAAAAAAAATTTTTTTTATATTCTATTTCATTCAATTATTTTAGTAAGCAAATTTGCTTGCTAAACTGAACAGTTTAAGAGATAGATTTATTTACTCATTTAGTTTAGGTTTTTTAAATTATATTATATCTAATATATTATAATTATTATAAAGTTAGTTAATCTTAAAGCAAATTTATTAAAAGAGTTTATATTTATCTTATAAATTTATCTAAATTAAATCTTTATTAATATTTATATAATTTTAAATTTTAGTTATAATTTTTTATTAGTTAATTAATTTAGTTTTTTCTAATATCTAACTAGTTATTAATTATTTTTTATCTAGTAACTTTAAAACTTTTTACTTTTATTAAATAGAATTTTCTTTTTATTTTATTTTTTATTAAGGCTATCTTCTTAACTAATTAGATTTTATTAATTTGTTATTGTAGAGTTACCAAAATAGTAATCTTCTAGATTTTATAATTATATAATGAATATATAACAAGTTATATATATAACTTTAGTTATTATCTAATTTAAATAGTCTGTCATATAGATGATTGATCATCTGTTAGTTCTATACTATGCTACTATACTTGCAACCTACTTGTGAGTTATCTATTAAAATACTCTGATTACTAACTCTTTATTCTATTTTAAATTAATATCACTACTATATCTTATTATTTAAATAAGCTAACTTGCTCATAGATCTATTTACTATATGATTTAAGTTTTCTTAGAATATATATTATCTAATATATTGTAAGCATACAAAGCTCTAGTTAATCTTAGAAGTGAATCCTACCAGAGTAGTTATATGTTTATTTTACAGATTTACTTAAATTATATCTTTGTTGATATTTATATAAATCTAGTTTCTACTATAGCTCTTTATCAGATTAGTTCTCTAAGATTCTAGCTAGATTTTTTATGAGATAAATTCTTCTAATCTAGTTAGCTACCAAGTCAAGTTGATATTACTACTATATTAGATTTAAACTATTATTAAATATTTCTATATAATACTATAAAGTGTAATATATTACTTTCAATTTTCTATTTATAAATTAGTTTAAATTAAGTTAAAACAAAGCTACTACTAATTAAAGAAGAGAAAAGAAATAAAAACTCTTTCCTGCAGATCTCAAAACAATAAGAAATTGAAAAATAATTTATAAATAAGCATAAAAGACAATTAAAACTAATTAAATAAATAACTAAAACACAATATACTAATACATAGTATACTAGCAACTACTTACATGACAAAATTAAGAGGAATTATTACAAAACCCTTACAATACTACTACTTTTTACTAACTTGTTATCAACAATATCAGCAATATCCCAAATCCCTATGGATATACAAACAAATGAACCAACTATAGTTCAGACTGATAGCAAAGATACAAGAGCTAAAAAATATCTAAGAGTATCATATGCTGAATTCTTAACCAGCTATAATACTACTAACTAATTGCTACTACTTTCTTCTCAAAACAAGAGAAAAAATATTGATAAAAAAGTTGTGATTTCACTTCAATATCTACTGTTATACAAGATTCAACCTCTATTCTAAAAAAACAACAAACCTTAGCTACGTGTCTATAATAGAACAAATGTATAAAAACAATACAAATGATATTCTCATGCCTAGAGTAGAACTATTACCTCAAACAGAAAACTCCTATGATATACTTGAGACACAACAAAACAAATAGCCCCCTAAACAAGGACTCATACAAAACCTGAATATAGATCAAAATACTAATATATGAGATATTAATTCAACTTCTACTAGTACTTTACAAGAATTAACTCAGCCTACGTATAGTCAAATTACCTCATAAGATATTCATCTTTTCACAGAATCTTATACTATAAATGATATAGAAAAACAGTAGATTCATAGCCTAACAATTGCACTTAATGATCTTAAAGAAAGACAACTTGAGTTACTCGATCTACAAGAATAGTACTCTAATAAAATAATCAATTCCCTTAGTAATAATAACATACTTACTGAATTTCTGAGACAAAAGCTTGTAACAAAGCTAACAAATATTGAAATACTATATGCTATAAAAATAAAATTCAAACACTGGGATAATGCCTTTTTCTGCTCATTTACTAGAAATCTAAGTTCTTGTCTAGTATATCAGATAGAATTTAATATGCTTATAATTAATGTATTAGAAACTTACAAAAAACAACACAATGTATTAATTACTAACAAAGCAAATCAGAATCAAATTTTTATAAAACTCAGAATGAAACTAGCTATAGATTGTCTATTAAATCTTAACCTTCTAGAACTAGATTCATTTGAAGCAACTAGATATATCAACTATCTAATTAATTTTGCAAAGATACCAACAATATTAAAGTTTGAGGAAATTAACAAGATAATTAAAGAAACAAAAACTGAAAAGCTACAACTTCTTCTAGATGATTTTAACTAAATAAGCCAAGAAATAAAAGAAATAATACTATTCTAGCTCTTAATAAAAGACAAAAGACAAACTGAATCTGTAGCTTGTACTCTACGATATATCTTCAAATTTACTAATCTTTTTGACTCATATTTTGATAATAACTACATCCTTCTACCAGATACTTCATAGAGCCTACACGAATCTATAAGAAATTTATTCCTTATTACTACTCATATAGAACTCAAGATTCTAACTCAATATAAAGCTAAACTTCAAACTCTATATATATTCAAAAGAATACCTGACACTTACTTTGATCTTTCTGAATCTAAACTACACTTCTATATACTCTACAAAAACTTACACCATACTTGCGTGAAATATTTCTATTCCTATTTTGCAATGCTAAAGATTTCAAAAACTATATTAAATTGCTAAAAGAAAGCTACTCTTTCAATTGTCTACCTAGTGACTTTATTATCTAAAAGCATTGCTTGCTTACAGATCTCAACAAACTACAACTACAAAACAAATACCAATTTCTAATAGAAGACAAACATATAGCATATGTATTTATAAATGAGATCACTATTTTATACAATCCTAGCTATATTTTCATTAGCTTACATATCTGTTAACTCTATGGACAAGCCTAACTTGCCATAGAACTATAGACAAGTAGAGCTAGTAAATCTTACTATTCCTATTACAATGCTATAATAACTATCAATTGCAGTTAA